ACAATAAAATTATTTGTTTTAAATGTATAGAAATGACAGAAAGAAGAGAACTTACGGATTTTGAACGTGATGCTATTTATGGATTATGGAAAGGCGAAAAGATTAATAAAATTGTATTTTGAATTTTGAATCGAAAAATTATTTGTAAATTTTCTCAATACATGGAACTTTATCAATTTCTAACGAATTTTAATTATCTTTTTTTTATTTTGTTTGCTATACTTTAAATTCTTTTGTGAAATTTTTATTATTATGTGGGATATTTTATTGGACAAAATAAAGTCTCAGGAACTAGCATTTTTAAACGATTTTAAGAAGTTACATATTCATCAGGAAAATAAATCTCATGTAGAGTTTAAAACTGACCAGCATTATGCGGAAATGTTAACAGAATTACCAAAATATCAACATAATGCTGGCCAATTCTGAACCCTACGTAGGTTTATGTAAGATTTATTTTCCTGATGTTACTCAAAAACTATATTTTATTAGGCGATGAGTATTGATAGAAATATGCAAGCTTGAACATTTGAAGTATTGTTACTTAGAACAAAAAGTCATAAAAAAAATTGCTTAATTTCACGACGTAATTCAACTATACATGAAGTCGAAACTGATTTTTTATGCGGAAGAGTATCAATACCATCAATATGATGACGACGCTAATAGTATTGTGTTGTTGATGATAATTTTACATGTGAATTAATAGACACTTCCAATACAAAGTTCAATAGTTCATTGGCTTCAAGTTCCAATGATTTAAGCGGTGGTTCTAGAAGACCTTTAAAAAAACGAATCGTAACACATGGTTTTGTGTGGAAGTATTTTGAAAAAATGAAATATTCAAATGGAAATGTATTCCTAATTTGCAAATTAAAAACAAATATTATTATTATGAAAAAAAATTTAGTCGACTAAAGAAATTTTTGAAGAACTAGTAGTCGACTAAGGATTTTTGGACGATTCCAACCTCTAGTATTTTTATATATACAGTAGTATATTAAATCTGCCTTCATTATGCCTAAACACGTGATCACAAAAATGAATTCATTGACATTAAATAAAAAAATTTTTTAATTGAAATGAAAAGGAAGAAAAACCTGAACCATCCAATGTATGAATTATCCAAATTTTATGGTCTTGCTGACCATTTTAGGTGATTTTAAAATTTTATATCTTATATTCAATTTCCTCTATAAGAAAATTTGCTGCTTCTGAAGCTCTTTATTACTAACGTAAATGCTCCAGATAAATGTTTCGCTATACTATATTATTGGCGAATTTTCTATGGTTGGCTCGGTCTAAAGACTCCTATTGCTGCGCCATGCGGCGAAATTTCAAAATAGCAATTTTGTAAAATTTTTCAAAAAATTGGACTTCACGTGATTTTAGTTTTCTTACTGCCAAATTTAGATACGATAGTCAAGAGCTAGTTTAAATTTGGTAATATTTTTCCTAAATTTAGAAATGATCATAGCGGACAAATTCCTCGCGAGCATAGTAAAGTACATGTTTTAAAAAAGAATAGAACTCTACAGCAAATAATTTGTTTGAGAAAATCTCTCTATTACATTAAAACTAAAAACATATTCTATCAACTAATAGAGCTATTTTTTTAAAAGGTAGGACAGAAAGTGACTTCTATAATTTTAAAATTTGCCCAAAATTTAGGAGGTCTTTAGACCAAGCCAACTATATATAAGTTTTAAAGTTTTATTTTTATTATTGTTGTTACTATTTATTACATTATTTATTATTATTATTTATTATTATTATTAAAATAACCCCTGATTTTCGTCATAAATATAGAAATGATATGCAATTTCCGAGTTTTTGGGTCAAAACCTTTTTTTCAATTTTCTCAAAATTACGATTTTGCAGTTTGGGCCTTTTCTATTTTCCATGTCCCATATGATTTACAAAAATAGTTGATCACATATATAAATTTTCATTAATAAGGATTTTTATTATTTTTTGGTGCCACAAAAAAAATTTTAAATTTATTATACAAATTGACAAACTTTGCAAAATTACATAACTCAAAGTAACTCTTAACTATATGTTATATTCAAATAAAAATTTGTGATTTAGATTCACTTTTGGATGCTCTTTAAACTAATAGAGAGCTTTTTACAATTTTACTTGCATAAAATTTTGTAACATATATTCACAACTTTTACTTTGATTTTCTAGCTTAAAATAAATGCCATTGTTTATATTAAAATAAAAAAAAGGGCTCTATTACTTTATTGTCCTATTTCTCTAGTATGTTTTAAACTTAACTCGGAGTCAGTATCTCTATTCTTTAAAGAGTTATAATCATTCAAAGTTTACTATTGAAAAAAAGATCAGCAAAAAATTGTCATATATGAAAATTTATATATGTGATTGACTATGTTTGTAAAATCATATAATGTAAGACACCCCAAAAAATTGTGTCAATCACTTGATTTTGATAAGTGTAACCCTCTTAATGAATATTCATGAATATGATGATTGTGATCACTGCTTTATATTTACTTATTATATATGTTATTTATCTCTTTTAGTTATTTTTTGGTTTCTTAAATTGTCATTAAAGAATCAGAGCTGTCTATTTGATAAATAGTGATGAATCTAACATTGAATCACAGTTGGAGAGGATGCCAACGTTGAAGTTTCTAAAGCTCAGTCTTCGTGTTTTAAAGTTGCATTGCCAAATGATCAGGGAGAAAAGACTTGAAGATGGGATTATTTATTAGAAAAGTAATATGTTTCCATAAACACTTAGATATTATTTTATCATTATTAATACTTTCTGATATTCATGACTTTTCAATGGTTCTCCAATATTAATATCAATAAGTTAAAGTTGAAGGCAGAAACTGCTATCAATCTATGTGTAACATGACATGTGAACCTTACCAAACCATTTTTAAAGAGAAAATACCAAAATTCGAGTTGTTAAAATCTAATGATACCACACAATTTGAAAAGTCATTCTTATCTCTATATTGTAAAGAGATGTTATAAAATTAAATGAGATAAAGATTTGGAACTATACTATTCAATGGGGGAGAGGACAAAACAAAGATTTGCAACAAAATGTATATTAATATTGGAAATAGCTATGAATGATTTTCAACCTTTATAAACTGTCTTCAATAAAGACTTATATGATGACATTTCCCTCATGTGTGAGAGAGAGCACCTACTCAAGGTAGGTGCTAGAAATAAAATTAGTTTTTCTTTAGATTAGCCTTGAATGACATTTTACTACAAAATAGAATGAACTAAAAGTTTTATAATTCTGAAGCAGGATAACAATAGTTATTAATAATGATACCCTTTTTAGTATATTATTATATATTGAGTGTTAGCTCTAAGTCTTGATGTCATCATCAAATAATTCATAGGGACAAACATTATTCTAAAAACCATAAGATTTTATGTGATTTATATTTTCAGGCACATATTGGCTAAAATATTATCTTTTAACTTTTTGGAAATGTTTCTATCAATCATTGAGAGTTGATGCTAAAAATTTCCTTAAAAATAATGGTGGTTGATATTATATTGCAGAATGTTATATTTGTTAAATTTAATCTGGATAATTCCTAGTTCTTGTAATTTAACAATGATACCTCTATAAACCCTTTCTATTGTTAAAAAACCAATTATTATATACAATAAAATTAAGAACAAAATTTTGTGATTTTGTATCTAATTCATCTTTCTGATTCTTTGATTAACTCTTTTTTTTTTCTCCAGAAACATTAAGAATGCAAGTATTAGGTCTAATTTTGCAACACGTTTACATTCCTTTGAATTTTAGACACAGGATAAAATTCTTCGCCTTGTGTTTCAGGCAATGTTATACCAAAAGAATATAATTTTTATTAAATATTGTTTATAAATGAATATAAACATAAATGATGCTCCTTCAGATTTAATTGTGAAAATATAACTTGAAATCTTATCTACATATATAGGTAATTATATTTTATAATAAAATGTATGGCATCAATACATTCACACAAGAAGTGAAGAGATACACCAATACATTTTGTTATATATCAAAGTAACCATGACTGACAATATAACCAATATGATGGTCCAATAGTATTTGTCATCATAAAAAGTAACAAGTTATAAAGAACTTGCATGGGATTTATCCAAGATATTATTTTCATAATTGAACACTTTGTAATATTGACCATCTATTGAACAAACTAATATTTTGGTGTATACTCTGTTGCTTTCTTCTTTATCGCCTATTTCAATATGAAAGAAATGCTGATAATAATGTCTGTTACAAGGAGCAAAAAATAAATTATTCATTTTTAAATTTGATTAAAAAAAAAAAAACAAACTTGACAATGATCTGAATCATATTATTAATAATTTAGTCCTGCATAAAAAATAAGTAATTTTCAATTAAAAAATTTTTGCAAAAAAATTCAAAAATAAGCTCTCATAGCTCAGTTGGTTAGAGCGTCGTGCTAATAACGCGAAGGTCGCTGGTTCAACCCCAGCTGGGAGCAACAAATAATTAAATCAAGTAACAAATATTTTTTTATGATTTTTGATTTTTTATTACAATCAAACAACTACAACAGCAGCATACATACATATGCTTATATTTTCAGAGAGATTCGTTTGTCTGTATCCTTTTTCACTATTTTAATTAAATTTATATTTTTGCATTTAGTGTTAGGTAAAATCCAAGAACTAAAAGAAAGATAGACAACATGTGTAAAAAAGAAGACAGTATTTAAAAAGGATTGTAGCCAATATGACAATGGGAACCAACATGTCACTGATGTAATTAACTGTACAAAAATTCCTCTGCTAGAAATCAATAAATGGTTTATTTTTTATTTAATTAATTATTCAAGAACAAACCTGATATGGCTGTTGACTTTATTTAATTATTATATATTTTATATGTATATATGCAAATTTTATTTGTTTTTTTCAAAAATCATAACCCTTTAATAAGAGCATTAGCAATAAGAACAATGGATTGTATAAGTGTTGAAAAGGTAGTAAATGCTTTGGTTGATCCATTAAGGCATTCTTTACAAGATCAAGATCAATGTGTAAGACAAACTGCTGCAACAGTATCAAAATTACATTTGTATGATGAATTGTTAGTAGAAATTGAAGGATTTATGGATATGTCGAGAGATATATTGGCTGATTTTAATCTTATTATATGTAAACATATAAATATATTTATATTTATATGTTTTATGTTCCTTTAGAAATGGGAGCATATTACACCAAGGTTACAACATATCAATTCTAGTTTAGTGCTAATTGCAGTAAAGTTATCATGTATTTAATAAATGACATGATTAAAGAATATGATATTACAAATATGTGTAATCCCTCCTTGGATAAAAATTTTTTTTAATTTGTTATTTATATATGTTTATGTCTTACAAAAAAAACCTCATATAAGATTTAATAGTGACATCATTTTCAAGTGAGCCAGAAGTTCAGTATGTGACACTTTGTAATATACTATTAATTATTCAAATAAGACCAGATGTATTAAGAAATAATATTAAGGTATTTTTTGTGACAATATTGAATCAAGTATTTTAAATCAATTATCATTAATTAATATTAATAGATATGCAACTGAAATTTTGTTAAGAAAGCTGTAAGATTGATTGGCTGATTGGTTGTGAAAATTCTACAGCAGAACTTTTCATAGCAGCTTTACTAGAAATTTATCCAAAAAAAGTTAATTATGTTTTACCATTGTCATAAATGTGTATCTTAGCTGATTCCAAAGCTAGATGGTTTTATTCTGTCTCTTCCTATGATTATTATTTTAAAATTTTTATGTAAAGTTACAAGAAAGAATAATAATAAGGTTTTAAACAAAATTCCTCTTTTTTAGTTTTTTGAAGTCTGGGTGATTTTTTCAAACTCTTTGGTGATTGATTATTAAAATATAAATAATTATCTATTCCTATGATATTTATTTAAAATTTTTTAATCAAAATTACAACAACACAAACCATCATCACTAGTAACAACACTACAACACACCATCCACAAAACTTCAATTAATAAAAGAAAAAAATCAAGAGATTCAAATATTTGAACCTGAAATAATAAAGTAGATAAATTCTTCTCCTCCTCTCTATGTTTAATTCTCTATTTGTGCAGTGCAATTCTTTGCAGACCAATTAGAGTTGCCATTCAATAGATCCCGTGATCTAAATATCCTTTAACTCTTCCAAAAATAGAAATATATGTGTAACCAAAAAATAAATCATAGAATTAAAGCTAAGACCTTTATCTACAACTCTATGATTTATTTTTGGTTATACATACATTTCTATTTTTGGAAGAGTTAAAGGATATACACAGCCAATGAAAGTTCAGTGCTAAGTGACTTGCACTATTTGAATGTAGTTTTCACACAATAGCTCAGGCAGGTTGTGTATATAAATTTTAATGATTTCTAGAACTTTTTTAATTTTAAAAAAGCAAAGTCGATTGATTTAAAACTTTTTTATCAATAAAACTAGTGAGTGTTGACAATGATTAATTGTTTTAATGAGTAAGCAAGGGTAATGGGTGTTATTGTATTCTTAATCAAAAACACAGGCAATTGGCCCAAATAACAATAAACATTTGTAAATAAATAAATAAAACATAACTTTATAGAGGCCTTGAACTTTGTAAAAAGACCATCTTTATTCATTCACAATACCCTGCCTGTATCATCATTGAGTGTGCTTACAGATTATCTGAAGCTTTTCAGGTACAAGGAAGCAAGAGCAGAAGTAAATTCGTAAACTAATTAATTGACATGTATCAAATTTCTTGTAATTAATTGACAAGAATAGCCAAAAACTAAGCCATAATTGGTCATAGTTGTCAATACTTGTTAATTGGTGTTAACGAAAAGATTACCTTGCAATATTCCCTTAGTCTATGTTCTGCCTGCTTTCTGACAAAAATTTTGTTTTTTAAAAAGCATAAGATGCATTTGTAATCCTGAGATGTCTTCTTGCAGTGGCCACCCATTTTCTCCAAAGGAAGGTAAATTGCAAAATCGTCACAATTGAGGTTCTCTTACATTCCTTTCAAATTATTTCAATTTCTTCATTACTAGTATTCTTTATCCTAATACTAATACCAATTCTATAATCCATTGCTACATATATTCCCAATAGTTTTAAAGGGGTTTAAATCCCTTAATTAATTCATATCAAATTACTGGATTGACAAAAATCCACAGACAATTTTCTTTGATAAACAATGAAGTTGTTATTTAATATACAATTTTAAATAAATTGAAATTGCATCACCCCAAGTAGTAATCATGCATGTGGTAATGAAAATTTTTTTAGCAGAGTTGGAAAATAAAACTCTTGATGTTTTTGTTAAAATTTAATTTGGGCTAAGGTTTCTGGTCCAAACTGTTTTCTCAAAGCCCAAACTAGTTTGGGCAATTTGGGCTTCTCAACATTTTTTATAAGCATGAACATTAAAAAACTATATGAATCAACTTGTTTTAACTTAAACAACTTTAAAATAATTTTGCCCAATTTCGGCTAATAACAAAAAGTAGTTTGGGCTTATAAAAAAATAATTTTTGCCCAAAGTATTTGGGCAATTTCGGCTACTGATAGAAGTAGTTTCAGCCAGAAACCTTAAATCTGGGCATCCTTTCCATGTATAATGAAAGTTCCATTACCTTGTCATCCAAGAGGTAATGGTTGTTGAGTCTCTGCTTGGTACTCTGGGATCTACATCATGATCATATTAAATTTCTTTTCCAAAAATCCAACATATCAAAATTTTATCAGAGCTACCTTCCCATGTAGCATGAAAGTTTCATTATCTCAAGTGGTCTAATCTCTGTAGTCCAGTTCTGGTTGTAAAGTTCCTTTAGTCATTTCCAAAAAATAAAATAAATAAATAAATTCAATGTATCAAATGGATTTAATTCAATCATCCTACATAAGTCTTTATTACACAAGCCTTTGTGTCCTGCACTATGTACCTGACACAGGAGTCCCAAAGTATTTTGACACTGTCACAAAGGGGGTTACACATGTAGTAAAGGGGTGTTACACTTATGTTTTTAATAGTGAGTGCCATAATTAATTTCTACTTTCTACCATCAAAATTAGAATAATTTTAACCATTGAAATCACCAAACCAATTTGGGCTAACATACCGGGTATTCAATTTAAGAAATGATCAGCATTAATTACATTACATATGTTTCATATTTATACAAACTGACCATCATCTGACTTTAACTTGACTTTGCATCACCAAAATCAATTTTGTGGCAATAACAACAACATATTCTGATTTCTCACCTTCTATTTTATAGACTACCAAAGTAATTCAGTAAAAAGTGAAGTAATTCAGAAGTTAGTTATAGAAGTCTTTTTTGCAATTAGAAAATCATATGTTCACTGAAAATAATAAACTTAAATTAAATCATTTAACAACTGTTAGGAACCATAAATAATACTAATAGAAAGCCTACATTCTGTTTAATATTCTGGTTAGTGATTTGGATGTGTAAAACATTTATTTAAATTATTCTTTTGTATTTTATTTAATTTGTTAGAAGGTACATTTATAAACATCAATCATAATTCTTGCACTATTTCATAGTTCTAAATCATGTCATGTAAAGGATTACTGAACCAAAAGAAGACATTGTGAGGTCAAAATCCGCGTCTCACACAAATCTCTTAGATTTGGGTAAACTAATATTTATTTCATTCTATGACAGTATCCAATTATGTAATTCCTTGATTACTTTCTCTCACTATAGTGCTCAAGCTATTTAATTATTTACAGAGCAAGTTTCCTTACTTCCCTTCTGGTAACATTTTCTCAGCAGTTCTTTGTTATCTGCCTGAGGCATCAGGAAAACATGTTTTTTGATACACATATTATATGTATATTATACGCATATTATTTTACATTACAGGTGATCTGCATATAATATATGTATAATTCACGTGTAATTTATGAATATGTGTATTATATGTATATTATATGTGTATCACCTGTAATGTAAAATAATATGAGTATAATATACATATAATATATGTATCAAAAAAAAACACATTTTCCTGATCCTTAATTATTATTTAAACCTTCTGTTTAGAATTATTTTCAAGTAATTTCTAGTCAATGTGAGTCATGTAAAATTCTTTTGTTTAAATATTATTCTGAGACTTTGTAATCTGTTACACTTTAGAATGTTGGAATATTTATATCTCCAATATTTGGGTTATTTTCTGAGAGCTATTTATTTGATTGGTGCACCCTATTAATTAGTGTAACATTTATTAAATTGTACTGGTTTATGTTTATTTCTTGTTGAGTTATTCTGTGATAATCACTTCCAAATTTTCACTTTGTAACACATGTAAACCATTTCCGATTTATATGTTCATTTCCCATGAATTATAATTTACTATTTTACAATACAAATGATTGCAACACCTAGTCATAACTGCCTTTGCAACAACTTTGTTGAATTGCAGCATGGAGCACTAAAGTAGTTCAGTATGGTGCGAGCATGTAAAATACAGCTTGTGATGTGTCTAATAAAAATATAAGATAAAATAATTATAAAAGTCCAATATATAAATCTTCCTATCTTTGCACACAGCTAAGGGTTCTCAATTCCCAAGGCCTCCATCTTCCCAAAATACTCTATACTGTGCAGTTCCTACTCTACAGTACTAATGCTAAGTAATGTTGGCATTAGCCTAAGATAATAAAATAAAATCAAATGGGGGGGGGGGGGTTCCTAACCAATGATTAGTGGCCAGACTACTAGTCATCAGAGAGGACCATGGAACAATTCACAATGGCTTTTCCTGTTAACTATGCAAAAATTCGTAATAAGGTAAAATGTGTTTATTTAATTATTAACAACAGGGGGAGAGGGAGAAATAAATAAAAATATTTATTCAATTATTATTAATGTTATTAACGTGATCTTCTCTCTATCTTGGTCTAAAACCAAGCCTTTTTATACCTCTTGAGGTATTACAAATAACATGACCTTTACAATATTTTTTCCAATAATATATGCTTATTAATCCTACTTTCTGTATTACTAGCTTACTAATTGCTAATTACTAATTATCTGACTCATAATTACTAATCCTATGAGTCATTATTACAAATAATTTGATTAATAATTCGAATTAAATAATTATGTCATAAAATAGGTTAAAAATAGAAATGATGTAATGATCTACATGTGTAAAATGACGTGCAACCGTTGCAATAAATATAGAAAGATGATTGTTAATCGTGATGTAATATTTAGCGCATCACATGACTTCCGTAGTAAGTTCGTTCTAATTGGTCAATATTAACGGTCAATTGGTTGGTCCCCGGTTTACAATCTCACAATACTTTCAATTTTAAAAAATTTTCTAGTCTAGTCTTAATACATTACTTTCAAGTCAATTACAATTCTGTTCAAAAATATGGGAAACTTCAAACAGAACATGAACTGGTGATTAACTCAAAGCTGTCAAACCACAAGGGTGATGTAACACATACAAATTTTCATGTTGCTGTATGTACATTATGAATCCATAATCTTTCAAAAATTTACCAGTTTATCATGTTAGTAACATTTAAAGGAGACCCATACACTTTACCAACACCCACTTTACCAACAAGACACTTTACTGACAACATGTGACATGATAATTTAGCACTTTATTATCTCTTAAATAGTCAGAGTATTCTTTAATGGTAACACAAATTAAAGGTTTGATCATTCTTATTGGTCAATTTAACAATCAGCAAAGTAAAAACAGTCAATCGACCAACTTTTAAAGAAGATTTTACAAAAACCACAAGGACAACAACTGGATTTTTATTTATAGATTAATCAGCTGAATCTCAAAGATCATTTTTGTATTAGAAAGTGATGCCCTCAGAAAAAAATTTTTATATCAGAAAAATTTTATCAGCTATCAATAGCCAATTAACCATTTAGGAGATATAGTTGTTTGATTGTGTGGAGATTAAATGTAACCCATGTGTTGTTGGTAAAGTGTCTTGTTAGTAAAGTGGGTGTTGGTAAAGTGACCCAGTCCCATTAAAAGATGGGAACCACAATTAGCTACAATTAAATTTTCATGTGCTGCAACTAGTCTCAATTGATTGAGGAGCCATCTTTAGTAGACCACTTGAAAATTTATTTATTAATTAATTTATCTGAACTTTGATTAATTATTCAACGATTATTCAGTTATTTATCCAAAATTTATCCATTTTATTAATTAAATTTATTCAATAATAATAAATGCTGTCATTTATCCAAACTTTATCCATTTTATTAATTAAATACATATCAGTGAAATCTCCAATTTTTATGAAAAATGGAACTATAGGTTCTATGAATATGATACATTTATTGAAAAAACACAGGGATGTATATTTATTAATATAAACAGAAAAACACTGAGTTTAATAATAATGCTGAGACTAATCACAGAGTAAATTTTTTACAGGGAATTCATGTGTTCATTATAACATGGTCCAACTGTAGATGGCACTATAGATGGGAGTCTAAATCATTTTAGAACAAAATGAACAAAATGTCTAAGATGTCCAAATAACAGTGAATATTGACACGGTTTAATTAAATTTGGAAATTATCTGCACATTTTCACAAAAAATAACCAAGGTTTATGTGTGGCGCAGTCGGGTTTTTATTTTAGACATTGGGCGCCTTCAAAAATTATTAGATGAAATTGATTTCGATCTGCATTCAAAAATTTCCATAGTAATAGGAGATTGATTTCTATCCGAGATTGAGATTGAGATCGAATTTTAAATATGAAATTTCAATCTAGGTCAGGTAGTAAGATTGAAAAAATAAACAAACAAAATAAAAATCAAATCATTAGCATTGGCATTTGTAAGTTCAAGGTTTTTAATATTTTTTATTAATAATTGTTGATCATCTTGATAAAATAATTTTTGATCACGGATTGAAAATTTCAATTTCAACCCAATCTCGATCCAATCAAATATTCAATTTCAATCTCAATATAATAATTTCTTAATTGTCTAAATTGTTTATATTTAAACATTGTTAATTTAGACACCATCTATAGGTGGCACACAATGAAAGGTTAACTATTTATTGAGATTGAAAAAATTATGAATTTAGATGATTATGAATTTATTGAATATGAATGGAATTAACAAGCACTGCTGGATTGAATAAATAAATGCTATGAAGGTAGAAAAGATTTTCAATACTTGGATATCAAATCTATTTTGAAAATTTATTTTAAAAAATTAAATGGTCTACAAAAATATCAGTGTTTTCTTTTAACCATGGTGTTGTCAAAGCTCAGGAAGTTGCTGATATGCCTTTTGCTGAATTCAATTTAATAAAAACAGATATTTCTGAATATGAAGTTATAAAAAAAAATCAAAGTTTTATTTATTTTAGTGTAAACACCCTATCCTCTGGATTACAAGAAGCAAGAATACCTTTATAATAATATTCACCCATTTGTAAAGAAGCAAGTACTATTTATAAATTGGTTTTAGGTTTTCTAGTCATTTTAGCTCCAAATTTTCCCTAAATTGGGAAAATCACCTTCCAAAATAAGTTGTTGAATTCTACCTGTCTCTTCAATAACAAATTTTTTGATTAATACCATAGGCAAACCAATTCTGCATGTATCAGCTAACATTTCTAAGGGTTAACTTTATACTTATTAAATAATACTTATTTAATTCATCAATGACTTCTTTGCTTTTCTCTTGATTATTTTTTAGAATCATTATATTATATTTTTACGATTGATTGACGATTTTGAGAGGGTGCCATACTAGAAGATTAATTTACTAAATTTTGATCCCTGTATTCCAATATTCACTTAATATGTCTTTGTTAGACAGTTCTCAATACATCTTTGAATTTTTAAATAAACAAATATCACGCACAATACTTCAAACTCGCTTCGTGCATCTAAACATTAATAATGAAACTGAAACCCTCGTTCTAGTTACCAGTTATAATAATAGGGGTTGGTTAGCATTTATTTATAAAATGACGTAATCATTTTTTATTTCTTAAAGTGTGGAAAAGTGTACAAAATAATGGTAAGTGTTTGTGTTCAACTTGCATAAAAAAAGTTGTTTTTTTTATTATAAGACTTGTTTTTTTTTTTTCTTTCGTTACGAAGTTGAGCGTGCTTTCAGGGGTGAAGTGGTAACGTTTTGACACTTCACGCTCTTGTTCCGCTTTGCACTGGTTTTGCGCTTTATCTTGTATTTAATTAAATAATCAAAAAAAATTTTTTTTATATAAATATATTTTATACATATACATACATACATAAATATATTATTCTCACCTTTTGTATTTTCGCATTCCATTCACAGTATTTTATAATATAAAAAGACTATCAATCAACCAATTATATAGATTTAAAAGGTTTTTAAGAAAATAATCGCTGAAAATTTATTTATTTGTTTTATTTGCTTTAAATTTTACTATCATTTTACTCATCATTCACATTCCAATCAAAAAAATTTTTTTAATAAGTTTTGATTTATTTAGAAAATTGTGTAATATACTTTTTGAAAACATTTTGATATAATAAAATAATGGGTGACGATATTGAACTTTCTTTCGATGACACATTTGAGGATCCCTGTGTTGATTCTGATCACGCACCTTCTAGGTCAAACTCTATTAAAGGAAAAAAAGGGGGTCTTGATAGTCAAAGAAGAAAAGAGAAACGAAGATCAAAGGTAAGAAATAATGTGTATATGTGTGTGTGTAATATATTCAAATTATATCATATAAAAGTTATAAGAATAATTTAATTGTTAATATACATTAGATCGTTATCAATTTACCGAATTATTTTTATTGTTATTATTATTACTTATAGCTTTGGTATGAAAAAGCCAACTCACAAGCTCAAAGTGACAGTGAAGCAAGTACAGGAGCTCAAGAAACCATTCCAACTGCTATTGTTATAAAAAATATTCCTTTTTCTATAAAACGTGATGCGCTCCTTGAAACTCTTGTAAGTTAATGAATTGATTAATTAGTGATAGAATTTATGCTGCAGTATTTATCATTTTTTTAAATCATGATTAATTTTATTACTTGATATAGAATAATCTGGATATACCAAGGCCTTATGCATTTAATTATCATTTCGATAATGGTGTTTTTAGAGGATTAGCGTTTGCAAATTACAGAACACCAGAAGAAACAGATCAAGTTGTATCGGCATTAAATGGGTATGAGGTTTCGGGTAGAAAACTTAGAGTAGAATATAAACGAGTGTTGCCAGCCGCAGAAAGGGAGGCGAAGGAGAGAGAAAAATTAGAAAAACATAAGACAGAAAAGGAAAAAAACGAAGATGTTCGTGTTCAAGAAAAAAATGAATATGAACAGATTGATAATCTAAAAACAGAAAAAAACGAAAATGGAAAGCATGATAAAGACAAAAAATCATTATCAGAGCAAAAAATTTCTGGTAAGTAATATATTTATTTGATGCTCTATGTCTTTTTAAATGATGGCTACTGGATTAGTTATGATTATCATTTTTTAGATTCTCTTGATCTCAATGATCCAGATACATTAAAATTCTACGATCAAGTTATTATCTTTCGAGATGACAAATCCAGGGAAGAATTGGTATTTCAAAAAACACTTACAAGTGCCCAACGCCGTACATTACATCTAATTGCTCAAAAGGTTGGTTTGTATCACTATAGTGAAGGTGATGGTGATGAAAGAGTTTTAAAAATAGTACGCAAACCAGCTTCTGCTGCTATTAATATTAAGGTATTGTTGATTCATATTATGAGAGATAATATAATTATTAATACATTTTATTTTCGAAAAAAAAAAGTTTAATATTTTTTTACACTTGAAAAAATTGTACATTGTAGCCACCTAAAAATGGGTCATTTGGTAGACGTACAGCTTCACAATTATTAGCAAATGCAGCAGGTTTGTCAGAAAGTCCTTCTAATCGGTCATATAGAGGTGATGCTTCCCCACTGTCAAGGTCTCCATTTAGAAAATCTTGGCTGTGAGTTTTAAGCTGCTTCTTAACATATCACATTGTATTATTTATGAATTTATTGCATTATTAATTTTCTACTTTGATTAGCAACGATGGAACACCGATTGTATTTCCAATACGTCAACCTCGAGGGCCTGACCCGGCTCAAAATTTCGCATCTCGATCATCTCCTTTACATACTTCTGCAATAGAATTTGAGATTGATTAATATTTAATAGATTGATTAAAAAATATTTTTTTGAGTAATTAACTATTTTCGATTAAATTAATCAGCTTAATTAATCAGCTTAATTAATCAAAAAAATTTTAATAATAGTAATAAATCAACATAGCAGAGCATTTCGATTGATTTCATTGATGAAATTAAATTAATCAATTCTATAAAGGAACATGACATTTTATAGACAAAAATTGATCTAATCAATTTTTATTTTATTATATATATATATATTATTATTTATTTATTTTATATAATGATATATATAATTTTCTTTTTTCTCAAAAATAATATAAACTTTTATTTATTTATATAGAAATTATTTTATATCTGTAAATCAATAAATAAATATAAATTTTTAATGTAATCAATCCTCTTGTAATATATTTGTTTGTTATATCACATGACATCTACGTCTTCTGGACTTGTAAGCTATTAAAATCGAAGATAAGAGTTTCCTGTGTTTTTACTTGGCATTTTTATTATTAAAAATTAAGAGTGAAATGATGTTTGTCAAATTTGGTGGAAATAGTGAGTGGAAGACTGTGTTAAATATAATAATAATAAATAATATTTCATTTAGTGGCCAAAATATAATTAATTGATCCGTATATGAACAATTTTACTAATTGACGACTTTGTACTACAGTCAACCCCTCTAAGTGCACACACCCTTTAAATGCACGCTCTCATTCATTCCCAAGCTCGGGTATTAGAGATAAATGCACGCCCTCTTCCCCCTGAACTGCACGGTCTTTTTTCATTCCCATCTATAAAGCTTCCTCTAAATGCACACCCGTGACTTTCACGTGATAATTACCCAATGAAAATGCTGCGACCGACGTTTGATTTTTTCCCTTTGTTGTGTAACACAAAAATTTTTTGTAAGAGATACAAGAATACTTAATAAATGATGATAAAGAGTATAAAGAATCAAATTTATTATTAGTAAGAGATGGTAAAGGATATAAATAATTAAATTTATTATTGGTAAGAGATGATAAAGCATTAAATTTTTATACTTGGTAAATGATGATAAAGAGTATAAAGAATCAAATTTATTATTAGTAAGGGATGGTAAAGGATATAAAGAAACAAATTTATTAATAGTAAGAGATGATAAAGAACTATTTTGTACAGGCAAGTAAAGAATTGTTCACTTAATTAAGTGACAGGAGAATAAAGAATTCTTTCTTTTTTAATAGATACAAAGATTATTAGCACAAAGAACAAAAAAGCAGACATAGTTTATATAGTTGAAATTATTATAAATAAGACATGAATCAAGAATTTTATTTCATTAAAAAAATAAAACTTCTATTATAAATTAACCTAAATTCCTAGCTGGTTAATTCTCTTGATAGATATATTAGTTAAAGCAATAAATACAATGAGGCACAGTACAATGGAATTTTATCTTAATCAATAATTATAAATTTTTTTTTGTATAATATAACAACATTAGTATTTTTTATTAGTGTCATCTGCAACCAATGAAATGTTTTGTTTCTCTGAGTGCACCCTCCAGGGATGATGATATTATGCAAATTGCATAATATCACATATTTCAGAATAATGCATAATCCCACCATATCCAACCAGATGCTAAGGTTGTATGTACACTGCCCTCCAAAAAGTATTCAGATGATGTTTTTCAATAATTACGCAAAATGCCACATAACGAAAGTACATAAAATTTATGTCATTATATGGCTTAGTTCTGACAACTATACATATAAAATCTCATTCTTCCATTGTTCTTTTATGATTTTTAATTAAAAAAAATGAACAACAAATAAATCGCAAGGCTTATTTTTGTGATTTTATGTTTCTTGAAATTTTATATCATAAAATTTAACAGTTTGTAGTTTAGGTTCTCATAAATAAATGACTAAAACTTCATGTTCTTGTCACATGTGAAAGTTTTGTTATTCAATAAACTGAGTACCAATAAAATTGATTAGATCAAAAAAAATTGTGAAAATTTTTTTTGATTTTTAAAATGGCAAAAAAGAAAAATTCAGAATTAACTGAAGTTGAGCAAGGAAAATTTTTAGGCCTAAGAATAAGTGGTAGTTCTCTTGCAAAAATTGCAAAGACATTTAATATTCCAAAGTCTACAGTTCATGATACTACATAGGTTATAGAAGTTTGCCTAAACTACTAAATTTCGGCAATAGTTTTGGCAAATTAAAAAATTTAGTTTCGGTTTTCAAGCAAGCAAAATGCCGAAACTTTAGGCATAATTATTTGTGCCGAAACTAAATCTACGTGCGAAACTAAATCTATGTGCCGAAACTATAAAATGTGCAAGCAGTTTGTGTAACTAAGGATTCATAAAGCATATATTACTTTATCAATAATTAATGCCAGTATTGGCATTAATTATTGTTATATATTAACACTAACAATTTAATAATGATGATCCAAATGATTTAATTTGAATAATTAAACCCGCCTATTAAATAACCTTTCCACGAAAATAATTAAATTTTTTTTTGTATTTATTACCATGTGATATATCACTTGTGTATGGGATAGTAAAAATTTATTACTTTAAAATAATGGTATCCGACCAAGAAACATCAAATACTTTAGATAATTATTTTCGACATGAAAATGATGATACACTCCCTGGACAAAAGTTTCGGTCACCACAAAACAATTAATTACGCAAAAACGTACATAATAAAACACAAATA